CGCGCCGGGTGAAGCTCTTGAGGCGGCGTGTGGCGAAGCTATCGCTGACGTCAACCGTGCGGTCCTCCCGAGGCGGTGTACTGAACATGTCTGCAACCATCGCGGGCTCGGCCAGACTGAAGCTAGACGGACCACCCACCTCGTCCTGTGTAGGTGCGTCAGCTCCTAAGGTGCTCTACGCGGCCTGAGGCGGCGTGACCTAAGACTGTCTGTGCTCAAGTAGCGGTGGAATCGAGTCCGCTGCTAACTGAGCGAGGTGCGAGACCATTGTTGAAGTGGCATAGGTGCTCACACTGGTGGCTACGAACTAGGCTGCAACCTCCTCCAGCATCAGGTCCTCTGAGACTTCACGTGTGGCGTGCGTCGTGTCCGGGTATGGTGAGAGCAACAGTGGATCGAGCTCGGAGAGGCCCCATATATGGCGCATCTGGCTAGTCGGCTCGTCGTGACCTTCCCGGGCAGCACGGTTAGTGGCGGCATTGGAGGTCGTTGTAGCGTGTCGTCCCCCCTTGGCCGTCGCCGATGTCTCCGATGTCTCCGACGTGGACGCCCTCCACCGCCGCCCTTAGCAAAGAATCGGCCAGCCCAATCGCGCGGGTGCGTCTTCGGGAGGCCGGTGGTTGCCGCCACCAAGCGGGGTGCCACAGTCGGTCGCCATCCTTCGTCGCCGATGCCACATCAACATGCCTAGGCCGCCTGCAGTCCCTGGCGAGGTGGCGAAAGACATGGCAGCGCAGGCAACGCCGTGGCAATCGGTAAGTTGCTACCCGTGCGCGTAGTAGGAAAGGCGCTTGAAGCATTTGTCGTGAAGCTCGCGAAACCTTCCGGCCCACAGAGGTTGCTTTGCGTTGCGGTGAGGCTCACCGAAGCGGTCGCAGGTTGCGCCTCGCCGAGGAGGATCTCCGCCACCCATTGGCGTTGAAGCGGAGACCCGTTCGCGGCGGCCGAGGCGTTGGTGTCTTGGATGCGGCCATCCATCGCCGAACAGGCAGGCCGTATACACCAGCCGTGGGCGCGGTCGACTGCGTTTCCCCGCCTTTGCCCAGGACCTGTCGGCCCGCCTCCGCTTCGCTACGCCCGTAATCACGATAGAATGAGTCTGGACGCGCGGCGGGGACACAGCGACCGGCCGCCGGGCGACGAGCGGCGTCCAGGTAGCTGGCAGGGTGGTCGTCGTCGGACTCCTCGCCGTCCGCGTCCGCCCACCGATTGCGCTTCCTGCGCCCTCCCGCGGGGCCACCCGGGTAGAACGGAGCCGCGTCCGGAGAGAGGGCGGGCGAGCTGGGGGCGCCGGCAGCCTCCCGGCTGCAGCGCTGAGATGCGGGTGGTGGTGGTGGCCATGCGTCGCTCTCCTCAGCACCACATCCCGCGCGAGGGAGAGGAGAGGAGGGGGCGGACGAGCTCGGAGCAGAGCCACCCGTGGCAGCCGGCCGCGCCGGACTGACCTCCGGGAAGGGGTCGCCTACCCCAACCAGATCCGGACGAATCAGGAAGGCGTCGAGTGGATCTGGACCAGTGAAGCAGCAGGACGCCGTCTCCATGGCTGCTGCCGGCTCCGGCTGCGGTGGAGCCCCAGAGGCCCCCGGGAGTGACGACCTGGCGGTGGGCCGCTCGCCCCGAGAGCCAGGCTCGCTGGGCCACTGCCGGCAGTGGACGCCACCGAGTCCTCGCTCGAGGTGGTGCTCGTCGACAAGGGCGTCGACTCGGTGCTCTTCGAACTTGTCCGCGCGCTCGGCGTCATGCTCGACCTCGCCCGCAGCCTCGGACTGCAGCGGTTCTGCTCGCGCGCTGGCAGGTGCCTGCGCCGAGTTCTCCTGCCGAGGAAGGGAGTAGCACGAGGGAGAAGGAGGTGGGGACGGGGAGGCGAACGCCGGCTCAGCTGGCGCCGGCGGCGACGAGGAGGGGGCGGCCGTCATGGCCGGCGCCTTCCCGAACGGCGATGGTGCAGCTGGGTCGCCGTGGCCGGCCTCAGAGCGCAGATGGTGAAGGACGGGGGTGGAAGAAGGGAGGGGACGGGAGGGGGAGGAGGGGGAAGCCGGCGCCGGGGCTGCGGCCAGCGGCGGCGGCGGCGGCGCCGAGGTCAGCAGGGTTTACCCTTCGCCCTAACGGGTCTTGTGGCCCATGGCTCTGGGGCTAGTAGGCGGAGAATCGAAAGCGCCTTTTTTTACTACATGAAGGCAGTAGCAATATATTTGATCATATTAAAAACCCTCCATTTATGATTTATGTATGGTTTAATTAAATATAAGTGGTTAAATGAAATTCAGATATTTGAACACAGCATATGTACAAGACTGACCTGAAAGAGCTTCAAAGTTAACTTGACGCATGTATTTTTAAACGATATGGCAATTCATGATCAATACAAGCTCACAATAATCGCAAGCAAAGTAAATAATAATAATACATTACACTTTTTGAAATGAAAGTATCGTTTGAGGGGAAAGAAAATAAACCAGCTGGTTGGATCTTTTGCACTACGTGGCAGTGTTATGGATGCACAAGGATGTGTATAAATAAATGATCAAAAGTGGAGCAATGAAGAAAAAAAAAAGAAAGAGCAGCTTCCATAGCACAAGTTGCAATTCAGATACATTTGATATAGAGAGCCTCATCCCAAATTTACTCCAATCCTCCTGTGCATAATTCAATGGGTGCCCTTACCAGGGCAGCAAGAGGCAGTTCTTGATCTATTCCGCAGCTCCACCGCCGGCGAGGCACGGACAGCTGCAGGCCGGAGACAGAGAAGAAAGAAACAGATGAGAACAACTGATCAGTCGGCAGTTGCTACTAACGAGAACGTCGATGTGAAGTTATTTTGAACTCGATATACTGCTAATGAGAGAACAACTGATTCCTTGTGTATACTGCTAATGAGAGATTAGGATTACCATTTGGCCAAGAAGCTTGGTGTGCTCTGCTTAGTGGTTTGCTGCGGGACTGCCGCTTGTTGCTGCTTGTGATGGCTCTCCGGACGCCCAACGAAGTAACCTTACATTCGGACAGATAACATAAATGGGTCCAGTTTTAAATTGGCAAGAAGACAGCAAATCCAGAAAACTGAACAACGATGTGTGCATGTCTGGATCCTTTATATGAATGAATGAGCTGAAGCGGCAAAGCATGAACCTACCGCCAGGAGTTTGCGCGGTCACCGGGTTCTGCTCGCCGGCGGCGTGTGGTGGTTCTTCCGTCTTCTCGGCGGCGTGGTTGGTTGGAGGGCCTACGAAGTAGCCTCCTGCACGACGACAGAGGATTAAGGAAAACAGAGTTTTCTGTATCTTCGACGCAGGAATTGAAGACAGGGCAGGGAAATAAACTGAATAGATTTAGTTATTTATTCATCTGTCGCTGAAGCGGAAGGATCATCGATCATAGAAGAGCTGACTAGTTTGGGAGAGAGAGAGAGAGAGAGAGTACCAGGAACATCGCTCTTCTGTTCGCTGCTCATGGCGGATCTGCCGGCGGCCTCTTCCCGCTAGCTAGCCTCTCCCGACGCCGGTGATAGCAACTGGCAAGACGAGCCACAAGAAAGGACAGACGAGACGACCGAGACGGCTACAAGTCAAGAAGACAGAGAGAGGGACAGAGAGCTCCTCTCGCCAGACTGGCAATGATTCAGCTCCGGCACAATTATCCGAAACAACCTTACATTGGCTCAAAAAATAATGATTATCCAACTACACCCCCAGCCTAGCCGTGGAATTGGAATCTGCCACTAGCTCTGCTGTTGCGAATTTGAGATGGCAACGAGGTCTGGACAGCAGAATCTTGGATGGATACAACACAACGCCTTGTCCCAGCGACAGGTGCCTACGTAACAAGGCATCAGCGTCAATTGCATCGGCCGAAATATCAGCGGGTTATTGGGTGCATGCATTGCTGACCTCCGACAAACCAACCATACCGATATATCGTATACATGGTTTGGACAGTTTTAGTATGATTTCGAAAATATCATTGCACAGTCAAACCGCTTCCGTACGGGCGATGACCACTGTTAGCCACATCCTCCGTGCCCGTGGTAAGGAAATATTGCATCCACAGCAAGATTCTGATTTTTTTTTCACGGTGTGTTTTGCATATGCCCAACACTATTGATCTTTTTTTCTTAACCAATTTTCTTCAATAGCCTAGGCTTATTACTTTAACTGGAAGGATTTTCTTGAGAGTTACAATTTTAAGTGCAATGGTTTTCTTATTGGGAAAGGTTGGTAGGGGTTATTTGCAGCGCAGCCACATCCTTAACTACCTGCATTTTCGTAAACGAAAATACGAAATCTCATCTTTCAAGCTAATGAACCAAAGAAATCAGAATGACACCTCTTCCACCAACGAAGTCGATGTTGTGTGTGTGTGTGTGGGGGGGGGGGGGGGGGAGGGAATACATTTTAGCAAGGCCGGTCCCTCGCCAAGTTGTTTTTCATGGATTCGGTAATTATTTCACCACGGCGTCTGTCCATGATTAACTCACATAATCAAGGGGAAATCCGCATTTAAATCACAAAAAAAATGTTGATAGAGAAAGCATTAGTTCTAGAACAAGTCAATGGCTCTTGTAAGAAAACAGGAAGCGGCGTATTTGAATTTGTAGTTCCATTGAATATTCAATATTTCTGCATCAATCTCAAAAAAATTATCAAGTGTACAAGGAAAGATACCAGATTCTTTCACAGGACAATAATGCAGTTCAGGTACAGAATGAAGCTCCTCCGATCCGTCCAGTTTACTTGAATTGTCGTCTCTCTCTCTCTCTCTCTCCCGTTGATTTCGTTCGATCCGCGGCTGAAACTGCTCTCAATCTTATTGCTCGGCAACTCGACTACCACTGATGCACGGGAAGCTGCAGCCGGAGACGGAGAAGAAAGAGATTATATATCACCCATCACTAATCAATTCAGTACTAGTAGCGTCGAAAACAACAAATTAGTTTATCCGAGTTTGGAATGGTATCCGTAGGTAGGTAATTGAGTTGCTCTGATGGCGAATCAGTCGAATATTTACCATCTGGCCAGCAAGCTTGGTCTCTTTCTGTCAGCAGGCGGCGGAGACGGAGCTGGCTCTGGCTGTGCTGGTTGTAGCGTCTTCTCAGGGCTCACCGGGTGACCCACGTAGTAATTGTAATTGTGCGTTGCTCCTGCGAACAGCCGAACACGAGGTTCAATTTAGTCGACAACAAACAGAGCAAGTCGAGAGACTCTATATCTAGTTCATCGGTCCGAAATGAATCGTCGGTAACTAAGTTAGCATAGCAAGCAGTTTCCTCAAAATAAAAAAAATAATAAAAAAAACTAAGTTAGCAAGCAAGCATGGACGGACCAGGAGTTTGGGTGCTCACTGGGGTTTGCTCACCGCCGGCGGCGACCTGCAGTGCTTGTTTCGTTCCCGGCGCCGTGTACGTGACTGGGTGGCCAACGTAGTAGTCCCCTGAAGAGCAGAAAGAGAAGAAAACGAGTGTATGGCTTAATTAGTCGCAGGATACAGGCCGAGAAGGTACATGCGATTCATCACAATTCACAAGATGCAACAAAATTGCCCCTACCAAGAAAACAAGCGCTAATTCCGTCTGTGAAAGAGGTGGAAAGAAACATCGATCATATCTCAGTAGATGATTAAGATGAGTTGAGTTGACCAGATCATGAGAGAGAGAGAGAGAGAGAGAGAGAGACTGATTTCGATCGTCAGAAGATGGAGAGAGATCACTAACCGCTGCTCATGGCGGATCCCCAGGCGATCAGCTAGCTAGGTGCCACCGCTCCTCGCCGACGGGTGGGCGATGGCCGATGGCTACGAGCCGCGCGGCAGAGCCGAGAGGAGGGAGACGACCAGGATGGCCGAGGAGACGGCCGGCCGGTCGCCCTGGCTGGAGTTTGTAGGACAAGCAGGGGACGACGCCTTGTCCAGGCGGCAATTATTCAGCTAGCTCCTGGTGGTCTACCGAGTTCGCCGTCAGCGTCCACACGGTAGCTTCCACACCCCTCTCTCTCTCTCTCTCTCTCTCTCTCTCTCTCTCTCTCATCTCCATACCGAAACTAAGGCCGGCATTTGTGTTCACATTTTTGTGAGCTCATGGAGCGGTGGGACGTGAGGACTGTGGACCCCTCTCTCCACGCTCACACGAGGGGGTGCGTGGGCTGCGTCCGCTGGTACTAATCTTGGTCTGCTTGGTCCGCCCAGGCAATTTTATCACGTGCTCAATCAAATAACTTCTACCTGTATCTGTTACTAGCAAACGTGGGTGCCCGTAATTATAATAATTTTGCTGCACTCAACTAGACCATTTGCAGCTCAGTGATTTAACGATCCTGATTTGTTTTAATTAATATGTTTTGGAATCGAACTCCATGCTATCCCCTGACACACGTTGGAATCAGGCTCCTACTATCGCTGGAGGCAAGTCCCTCTATCTCGTATGATCACGAGTCGTGAATCCGGATCATTTACGACATATGGGTCGGAGGATGTGAAACATTGTGTGAATGTAAAAAAAAAATGGACAGATGAAGTAGCAACAACTAACCGAATCTAGACACTCATGAACATTCTGTTCATCACCTACGGCTGGGGGCATTGGATCCGGCGGCTGAGTAGGCAGCAGGGTTGGAATAGCAAGAAGATCGAGAGGCACCTCCACCTCTATTCTGTCTCAACGCCGATAAGGACAAGAGTGGGGCGCCGACATCGACGGAAGAAGGAGACGGCGTCGTCCCGATCTGTTCCGTACACACTGAGGAGGTTTAAGGCGGTAGCAGCCACGCCCACGCGACCAAGGACGGCAAAAGGGTCACCGCGCCGCAGGACGTAGTAGATATTCGCCAAGCATCACCTGCCATCTCCGATCCGTGGCCGCTGCAGAAGCAGCATATGAGATGGCACATCCGCACATGTACCCGCGGAATGGTCCATTGGTGCCCACCTGATTTAAATTTACATCTCCGAATTTAATCAGGCAACTTTGAATTTAGCAAGCAACAATTGGCTCAATCTCACAATTTTCGTACCATGTTAAATATCATGGTTTCCAGTCAAAACATGCCTAAATACAACGGTTTGGAACAAACTGCTGAAAATTAAAAACACTGCGGAGTTCAAAAGTTACTTCCGTTACGGTAAATGTATTACCACTTCCTACTGCCAATAGTCATTTGGCAGCAGTCAAGAGACTGTAGCTGTACCATTGATTTCAAATATAAACTTGCATCTGCTGGCTCAGGTACACTTCCTGGGTATACAACACAAGTAAACATTACCGTATATGGGGCTCTAGAAAGAGGTTGGACAAATATTAGAATGTGCAATTTTGGCTAAGCATAAAGAGTACTTATAGATTGGGTGTCAAACTGACTGATTGATTTCTAGTCCACTCGGACTTGAATATCGATATGAGGAATAATCTAGTAAAGTGTACAAATATTGGTTAGAATGGGCAATTTCAGCAAATTCAAACTTGTGAACTTATGGAAGGGCTGAACAAGAGTGAAGTGGTACCGGGAAGAACTGCAATTCAAGCACAAACTGAGTCTGCAATAGCCTGTAGCCTGTAGGGGAGCAGTTACTGCCTTGCTAAAAGCATTAATTGTACTTGAATAGAGTATCTGATTGGATTGCTGGCAAACTAACGGCAAAGGAATATAATGCTGAGGTCCAGTTTAGTTGTAAAAAATTTTGTAAAATTTTTCAAGATTTTCCGTCACATCGAATCTTTGGACGCATGCACGAAGCGTTAAATATAAATAAAAAATAAAACTAATTATACAGTTTAGACGAAATCCACGAGACGAATCTTTTAAGTCTAATTAGACTATGATTGGATACTAATTACCAAATAACAACAAAAACTGCTACAGTGCCATTTTGTCAAAATTTTTGGCATCTAAATAAGGCCTGATTCAAAACATATATAGAATGAACAGTAGTTACATTTAATCGCACTTGTGGTAGTAATGAACAAGTGGTATCGTAGGAAAAGAGAACAGAACAGCTTTCCGGATATCAGACAGAGGTTGCACTTGAGGTACAGATCGCCGTGTCTCCCTCATAGTCCATACAGATTACAGATGGTACTCGAAATCGTTGAGAGAATGAATGCCGAGCACGGCCGGCCAGACCAGCCAGCTAGCTCTCCACTCGGCCGCCGGAGAAGCATGAAAACCTGGTGGAAGAAAGCAGAGTAGAGTAACAGCAGATTAACCAACCAAACCAGCTGAATCCTGAAGTTACCAAGAAACTATTTTGCTAGTGTGCTAATAATAAAGCAGGAGGAGTACAGGTTGCCGAGGAAGCCGGTTTTCTTCTGGCCATCAGACGACGGCGCTTGGCCTTGCTGCTGCCCAAGGTTCTCTGGAGACCCAGCGAAATAGTTTTATCAAGAGAGGATTACGAATTGGACCAAAAACCGGGGGAAAAACACAAACTCAACAGCGATGGAAAAGTAGAAAAGCAGAAACAAACTGAATCGGCGTGGTTCGCCGGTGAAGTTTGCGTCACCTACCAGGAGGAGTGCTCCCTCTGTTCTGTGCATCGGCAGCATCTTGCGGTTTCTCCTCGTAGTTGGCCGGACGGCCGACGAAGTAGCCTGTGCGTAGCACAAGTCAGAGCTGCATAGCGCAAAGAACTGCAGGCAGACCAGATCAGGAGATCTGACACGGAGGAGCGGGAAAATCTTGAGATGTGCCCGCCGTCGTCCATGTCGGATTCAAGACGTTGACCTACTGTTCTAGGCTTCCAGCGCAGGGAGAGAGAGAGAGAGAGAGAGAGAGAGAGAGAGATGACACGTACCTCCGGGAGCCTGCGCGTCGCCCATGGCTGGTGGATCTGTGGCCGGTCAGGTGCCTGCGCCGCTCCTCTGCCGGCAAGGCGAGGCGAGAGAAGACGACGACGACCAAGACCGAGACGTAGGGGCCGGGACACAACAAGGCCACTGTGTGACCACGTTCTTATCATTAGCAGGCCTCCACCAGCTCAGTCAGTCCCCCAGCCTGTCAGTGGCTCGATGATAGTACGTATTAAAAACAACAAGGGCCAGCACCGGCCAAGTCAGCAGGTGTGCCCTCATGGAGATGGAGGGCTGTACAATAACAGTTCTACTAGCACATTGGGGACCAAGCACTACTGAGTTTTTTTTCCCTAAAGCCACGGTCTGGTGCCACACGAACTGGGCAGTGCAACATTTGGGCTTACCTGAAGAGCAACCTATCCGAACGTGGCAACCTGTGCAAAGATCTTATGGCTGGTGGTAAGTTGATGGTTTGCAGCGGCTTGAGGGCAATCCGCGTTTCAAGAGGGGACGAATGTCATGGACTGGGCCACCGGATAGGCTTCCAAGATGGGCTGTTGCATGGGCTTCCAAGCTGCCTTCGATGGGACAGGAGCACAGCAATAAAAGACCGAGCGACCATCGGGAAGGGGATTGAACAGTCGACGAAGTCCAGCTTCTTCCCCTGGCCGAGAACCACCTCTGCTTTTCTTGCTATCTTTCTCTCTTATCCTGCTATTCCCAGCTTAGATTCTCTCTTATTCTTCCCAATTTGTATTAAATTAAATACTCTTGTAATTGCTATTCTCTAGTGAAGGATCCTGACACCCTCATTGATCGTGCACTCATGCCGCACTCCGCTTAAGAATGGCCGATCTGCGAGGCGGCCTATTTGTGCGCTAATTTTTGGTTGGCTGATGATTTGGCCGGGCACAGTGGCGGATGCACGATGCGGGATAAGGGGGGACTAAAACAATGGAGATGTTGATTTGCATGAAGATTTAATGGTGAAATCAAGCTTTTGCTACAGTGATTAGGCTTGAAATCAAGAAATTAGGGGGGCTGGAGCCCCCCCAGCCCCCGTGTGGATCCGCCGCTGGCCGGGCATGCATGTGGCAACAACCAAATAGCCCCTAAATCTCTTTTGATCCTAAGGGCTTCAACATCTCCTCTGTAGTTAACAAACAAAAATTGTGTCAAACTGCCCTCAAGACGGAAGGTTCGGATTCATGAAGTCGAACCGCCCTTTCCACGAATGCCCCAGATCAAGCCGAGGGTAGAGCGCGTCGCGAGTAGGACTGTCTCCGATAAGAAGACCTAAATCCGACACTCATTTTCGATTTTGAGTTATGCACAAAAAAATGTCCCGTAACCAATAACTCAGCCCTCTCCAACAACTACGCAAAAAGCAGAGCCCATCCGAAGCGGAGGACGACCGCATGGCCGAGGACGCCGCCGAGCTGCCGGCGTTGTTGACGAGGACGCCCACGTCGCGCCACGCGTCGTCCCCGGTGATGGCGAGGTTGAACGCCACGCTCCGCACCTTGCACGACGGCGACGGCGCGGCGGCCAGGACCTCCTTTGCCACCAACGCCGACATGGGGTGAGCTGCTGCTCTTTACCATGACATGGGGTGAGCTGCACAGCTTGCTTGGACCTTGCAAGTTCCACTTCCGTAGAGGTGGCCAAGTGATTTTTCTAGGATGTGGAGTGCGGATCTGCCCGGATTGGGCAAAATTGGTGGCGGGTCCCCATCTAGAGTGGGGGTCTATTTCCATAGAGGCAAGCGGAAACAAGAGGTTTGCTAGGAACGGAAGAAGAGAAAATTGATGGGGATAATAATACATCGATGGGGGAAGGGCGGTGAAACTCTGAATAGCTAAGGATTCAGAGGGGTGTAAAAGCAGAGGAGAACGTGTGGGGCGGATGGGCAATTTATCGAGCAGGAATCGAATCGAGAGGAACCAAAAGCGGGAGCAGCTGTCGATTGTAACTCGATCGAGCGAGGAAAAGAGCAGATCGATGAGAAGAAGTTCGGATTGGAACTTGGTGATGGATGTGGAGGATGCGGATTGAGGAAAAGATGGGGTACCGGAGAGGGGAACTGGGGTAGGAATCGAGCTGAGGAAGAATAGGATTGGATTGGAGGGGAGGGTAACGGGAAGGAGGGAACCGGCATACGTCACTACTCACCATGGTAAAGACGGAGCTCCGGTGTGGGCGCCTGTGGCTGGAGCAGTGCATCTCCGAGCAGAGCACGACGGCGGACGGCGTCGGCGGCGCTCGGCCCGGCTCGGCGAGTGCACGCGCGAGCTTGAGCTCGAGTTCCCCGACGGCGGCAGCGGCCCAAGGCTACGCCGGCTCAGCTTGTGCTGCGCGGCGAGCGGCGGGCCGAGGTGGTGCTCCCAGGCGGCGGCCGTGTGTGCCGAGAGGGAAGGCAAGCTCGGCCATTCCTTGCTTCCGCGGGCGAGCTCCACCGTCGGAGATTTGCATAGCGAGGAGAGAGGCGACGCTTTTCTGCGTTTGCTTCGGCCTGGTACCCAAAATGGGTGTTGCAGTTGGGTCACCCGTTGGAGCCGGTATCTGATATGTAAATCACTATGTGCGACCTATTTTTGAGTTTAGATAGCTTTGTTGGAGTCAGTCTAAGGAAAGGACCCCGCCCCGTCACTCTGATGCGATGGGCCGGGATGTGATGCATCTGGCAACGTCAGACCGCTGACACCGCCTGCGCGCATGCTCGCGGGAATTGAGGGGCCGCGCTCCCTGTGTCTTGTGTGCTGCTCATATGATTCATCCTACGTGGATAGCTGATGGGTATTGCCGGAGTTAATTCTTTCGATGCAGTAAATAGCTGATAGATATTTCTAGAGCTAATTTTTCTGACGTAGTGAATTTGCAAGAAAGCACTTTCAAAGTTTAGTTTATTTATTTTCAACTACGCGATAGGACAGCGCATGGTGAAGACAAGAGGTTAAAAAAATCCGATCAATGTTACTTTATTATTATCATTATACCCATACGGGAATAACCTCGTAGTCATATAGACCCGTTCGGCTTGCTGAATCTTGGCTGAAACTGGCTGAAAACACTGTTCTGACTGAATTTTTGTGAGAGAAAAATACTGTTCTGGCTAAAAAAACAAACCGAACAAGCCGAATATAGAGTAAGCCGAACGGGGTCATAGTTTAAAATTTACAGTGAGGAACCGGAACGGTTGAACAAAGCATAACTAGACAATATATACGGGTTAGATAACAAGCTAACGACAAGGATTTGGGAATCGCCTTGGCTTCCGAGGGACGGCATGCTGCACGTTGCATCCAATGAAGGAGAACCCGCCGCTTTGGGTTTCTGATCTTATCGACCAGTCATCATGAAGGTGGAATAGACAGGTCTTGAGAGAGTTTTTCTCCCCTTTAGATTGGGATATCATTGAGAATATCTCATTGAGCATGATTACCGCTGTTAGAAATAAACCACGAGTGTCCATGACATGTGCGTGTATGCCGCGTAGACTATTTTTGGGTTAGGATCCAGTCTCATGTGTGCGCCTCCTGGATGGCATGTATTGGTCGAGATCGAGTCTAGTTGGAGTAGTGGTGTGCATGGCTCCGATTTGCATGGTAGAAGCCGTATCGTCCGGATGAGCAAGTGGTTCACGGTGTTGCTAGGCGGGTCCTGCGGATCATGGCGCGAAGGCCGGCATGGAGGTGAGCTCCATGGCCTATATGTAGCCCGTGTGCTTCTCTGTATTCAGTTGCCAAATCCAGTGAATATGTAGCCAAGATACAGGCGAGTTTGTCGCCGCGACGTTCGTCGCTGAAAAACAGTGTGTCTATTGTGCTTGTTCTACCTCTCGCCAAGAGCGTTGGTGTGTGTGTTTGAGTGATTCCTGGGTGAAGCCAACAATTGGTATCAGAGCTAGGTTATATGTCGACCATGTTGCTAGAGGAGCTCGTCGGCAGGCTGCGTATGGCAGAGGAGTGCTGTGGTGGAGTCGAGGTGGTTGCGGATGGCGTCGAGCGTCTGCTGCTCACGGAGGAGCAGTGGGAGGCGCGTCGGCGACGTCAATGCCGCAGCATGGAACGCTCGAGCGAAGGCAGCGACAAGCACGGCGGTAGCAAGGAAGGCACCGACATCGACGACGAGCCGACACTCATGTAGGTTGGGCGTACGGGATGTCATGGTTTAGGGGGTGATTATTAGAAATAAACTACGAGTGTCCATGAGATGTGCGTGTGTGCCGCGTCGTGGTGGTCTGCATGGTTGCATGCAGGCTATTTTTTGGTTAGGATCTAGTCTCATGTGTGCGCCTCCTGGATGGCATGCAATGGTCGAGACCGAGTCTAGTTGGAGTACTGGTGTGCATGGCGCCGATTTGCATGCTAGAAGCCACATTGTCCAGATGAGTAAGTGGTTCTCGGTGTTGCTGGGCGAGTCCTGCGGGTCATGGAGCAAAGGCCAGCTAGAGGCGAGTTCTGTGGCCTATTTGTAGCCTCTATGCTCCTCTGTATTTAGTTACCAAGTCCAGTGAATATGTAGCCAAGGTACAAGCGAGTTTGTCGCCGCGGCTTTCGTCGCTGGAAAATAGTGTCTATTGTGCTTGTTCTATCTCTCGCCAAGAGCGTTGGCGTGTGTGTGTGTTTGAGTGATTCCTGGGCAAAGCCAACAGTCGTAAGATGACTTCTGGGCATGGCACTATGAGAAGTCCGACAAATTTTTAGTCCGCTCTGCTTATCTGATGCTGATTCAGAAGCGGGAGGCGACATCGGACTAGGTGGAGGACAGACCTAGCCGGTCAGACATGAAGGCACGGGAGAAGGAATGGAGCGATCTTTGGAGAATTGAAGTTCCGTTAAAGATATGTGTCTTCTTGTGGCGCTTCGCAAGACAATCCATCCCAACCAGGGATATGCGACACTGCAGGAACATGGCGCCAAATGGGGGCTGGACGTTATGTGGTGGTATATATGGACTCGTGGAGACATGCGCTATTGAAGTGCAACCTGGCCATGTGTGTTGGCTCTGGAGAGGGAGGAGATCAC